TAAATTTTAGCGTCCCTTTTACTCTGCTGCATGTTTTGATTGTAAAAGGTGAGTAAAAACTGAAGGATATACAAAGGAAGGATTATATATATAAAGGAAAATTATATAAATATTATAATTTATTATATGAATTAATTTAATATATTAAGAATAAATAATAGTAATAATTTTAAATATTAATATATTAATATAAATTCATTAATAATTACATTAGTAATAGACTTGAAACTGTAAAAAGGGAAGATCATTGCTTATCACACTTTTCATTCCACTACATACAAGGTGTGATCAAAAAGTATCGGGACTGTTGCTATGGCAACAGAAATAAAGTACACTGAGTGAAGCCACTTGGCACAGATTGACCTTGAACTCTGTCGATTATACACACTATATTATAATGTTCTTGCTCATATCCGTTTATAGCAATGTTTGGAAGGAAAGTGTATAGAGTGTGATTGTCATACCACACCACAGAGGTTCCATCAGTAACCATGGCTTGTGCAGTAGTTTTTGGTCAATGACAACATTCTCAACAGCCACCATAGTCCCCAGATCTACAACTTTTTCCTCTTCAAAAATCAAATCCCACTTGAAAGAAATGAAATTTCAAGACAAGGGTGCAATTGTAAATAAATCAATCCAGAGTTTTGTCACTGAGTCATAAAGAGTGTAAAGCAAGAAAAACATAAAGAATAAAGACAATAAACATGCCATTAAAACTGCTGTTATTCCCAAAAAGGATAGAAATGCCTCTGGATAAAGTGTGTGGCTTGAGAAGAGGATTATTTCAAAGGAAATTAAATGTTGAATTGATATGTGTATTGAGTTTCAACAAAGAGATATTTAATTTAATATTAATTCTTATTTATGGAATATAATCTCTTTCTTTCTCTCTCTCTCTCTCTCTCTCTCTCTCTGGTTGTATAGATTACTTGAGTCATGATAATGTTTTGTTAGCTACAGTATTTATCAATGACAGACACCCCTATAGTTGAATTTAAGTAGTTTCCTAACTGAATGAAATGACCCTAACTGTTGATCTAAAAAGATTCATCTGCTCAACATCAGTATGGAATAAGTTGTTCATCCTGAGAGATTATTCCATCACATTTGATATCCACCATGTTGCAAACAGATGGCTTCAGTATATTATTGATTATTATTTTAATAACATCTGTTTGAATAATGAATAATAAAGTAATTTATAAATAATAAATATAAATAACATATATAATAAATAACAGAAATTAATTGGCAAATATATGTAAGACCAATTTTTTTTATTAATATTGTTAAATAATATAAAAAATATGATAAATATAATCTATTACAAGCAATTATAATTGTTTGAATGAACTCTCTTCTTTGGTACATACATTTTATGAATTTAAGTGCATTACTAAATTTGCAGCAAGGTCTCATCTTTTTATAGTTGAATTGGTTAGATGTAGCCGTAAGTTTTATGCTAACAGTTTCTTCCATCAAACTTTCCAGTTGTGAAACTCTCTTCCGGCTTTTTGCTTCTCGGTCAACTTTAATCTTCAAAAATCTAAATGCAATGTGACTTGTTATCTAGTTTTTCTAATTCCTGTTATTTTATTGTTCTCACTTCATAATAATGATTTTGTATCTCTTAATTCTTTGCTTATTTTCTGGAAGGGAACTTTTTGCTATTCCAATATGTTGAAGCTTAAATAAGCATGGAATAATACAACACAAAATGTACGTTAACAAAATGTATTGAAACAAAGAATAGGTACACAATATTTACAGTTAGTTTGGTATATTCTTGGGAAGACTGTTCCTGCATAATGGGTTGACTAAATCGCAGTCGGGCAGAGTCTCTGGATTCAATTTCTTAATCTCTACTATCTTCCCCGTCTTCCGGTACCAACCCATATTTATATGGTCGGTAGTCCGCTTATGTAAATTAGGTGTATCATACACAACACAATATAAAAAGTTAATTTTCTGTACCTGCTTCATTTTGATATTCTCAACTTGTAGCTTACACCTTACATTGTCTCTTTTGCTGACAACTATGCCTTCTGTCTTCTTACTGCTAATAATTAGTCTTTAGTTTTCACTTTCATTTACTACTTTGTCTTGGACTTGTTGCAGTTTTTCTCCTAAATCCGACATCAATGTAGTGTCATCTGCATATTTATGCTTTGAAGTTTATGTTCACCAATAATAAATCTTGGTAGATTTTCTTAATCTCTTAGGATTATCTTGCCCTATAGATTAAATAGATACCTCTTTCCATTTTTGTTTTCTGACTGTATGCAAGTAGTTTGTTCCCAGTAAAGGTTACAGATTATTCAAATATCTTTCCTATATAAATTGAGTTTTCCTATCATTTCAAGTAAGTCTGAGTTGTACTACTTTCCACACTAAAAGAAGGCTAGGAAGGAAATCCCCATCAATACTAAAAAGAGTCATAACAATTACTGCATTTGAGAAGTCTATTTTTCTGATAAACTTTTTAAGGGAAGGATTTTATGAATTTCAACCAACAGTAATGCTAACTGTTCAGTCAATATTGATCAATGTTTCCTTGTAAGGAAACAGCTAATCTCACCATTATCATTGACATTATCAAATGCTTTTGAGTAATCTATGAAATCTATGAAATACAGGTATATGTCTTTCTGTATTGGTATTGCTCACTTTGAAAATATTCTTGTTCCAGTATCTTGAACAAAGCCACACTATTATTTCCCTATTTCTGGTCTAATTCCACTACAAGCACAAATTATTAGAATGCTAATTATTAGTTTATGTGCCTCATTATGTCAATTGTCTGATACCAGATTTCTTTCTTAGATTTGAAAATATAGTTTAAAAAATCCTAGATTACACACATAAAACATACAACTTTAAAATTACATTAATATTGTTGTCATTTTTTGACAGTACATCGAAACTAGTATAAATATATGGCACAAAACTGTCTCTGAGATTTTATAATTATCAAAAAGCTATTTTTTTAAAAATTGGTTTTACCCCATGCAAGCGACTAAGACACAAGGAGTTACAGGATGTGGAAGAATTAGGAATCAGAAACATTAATAATGAATAGGAACAGAAAAGAGTAATCAGGAGGACAGTAGATGTGATTGACATTGCAATTAGATTTTTGAAGATCAAAGTTGGCTGGACTGCATGGAGCCAGAAAGGAGTTCCACAAGCAAAAAGTGCGAGAAAAGAAATTATTAGCATAAAACTTACAGTTACATCTAGCCACCTCAACTATAAATTGATGAGATCTTGTTGCCAGTCTAGTACTGCACTTAAATTCCAAAATCTAGGTACGATAACGAAAAGCTCATCCGAACAATCACCATGAAAGTATTTATAGAAAAGACAGAGAGGCAACCTTACAGCAGTGGGAAAGTGACTGAAGCTGAGCCACCAGATCAGGACCAATAATATTGCTGATTCTTTGGATTTTATCAAGAAGCTCAAGGTAAATAGCAGGGGCACTGGACCATATGTGGTGGCAATATTCTAAGCATGGATGAATGTTAGACATATATATGTAAGAGAGATTCTGGAGAGAAAAATTGTCTCACATGACACAGTGAACCAACTTTCTTAGCAGCTGACATAGCAATAGATTCAACAGTCTTTCCATTTCATGTTAGCTGAGAACGTTAGCCCAAGAAGGTGCAACAATCACTCTCTTGGAGGTTAGTATCAGAGTAAAAATTACTGATCAGTAGGTCAAGTATAGCATGTGTGATGATCAGCAGTTTAGTCATAACAAATACATTGATCAGCAGGTCAAGCATATCATATGCTGATCAACAGGTGAACTTTATATTTCTAAAAAAATATGAAATTTAATCTCTCAAAAAATAAAAATAATTTAACAATATCATTGATATTCTGTATCCGTTACCTTTAATAAAGATTGTACACACACATTATAATTGGTGTTTGTTGTAATTTTCCAAGATAAAGGCAGCTCCCTTCTTGGTCAAAATTCAGTCCTTTAAAGATTGACCACTCTAGGGCGCAGGCCTGGGCACAGGCATATGGAGGCAGTGCACTGTTCAGGCTATATGCCCCACCTCTCGGCTGTACCGACAGGATCCAAAGGAATCCAAGGCACAATACAAGCTTGGCTACAGCAGTTGCCAGAAAATTGTGTGTTGACAGCTAACCACATTTGGGGCTCCACTCTGAATTTTCTATCTGGATTTACTTCCATAGCCTTTCCATGTTTGGATATGACCACAAAACAGTGGAGGCTTACAATCAGAGTTTATGCAAAACTAGGTAATCCGTGTGGGTAGATCCAAGGAGGATGATATCCGGAGAGCTCAATGTAAATTCAGAGCAAATATGTTTGAATAAAAAACAGACCACTTTGGGTTCCATGTAATAAATTATTTCACCACAGCCCTTTTAAGGGCTCTGGATCATCAGACTTTACTTCCAAAATGGAAGTAAAGTCTGATGATCAAACCCTAAAAAGATTGTGGTGAAATAATTTATTACATGGAACCTTAAAGTGGTCTGTTTTTATTCAAAACATATATATATATATATATATATATATATATATATATATATATATACACACACAAAATACTTTCAAAAAGTTCAAATTTGAACAAATGATCAATCTGTTTATTTGTCAAAGAGTTTCTCGTGTCTTGTCAAGCATCTTGTACATCTCTCAAAATCACTTCAACATAAAGAACTTTTGTTTTTTTATCAATTTTTTATTCATCAAGTAAGCCACTTTGTTTTTTTCTGTCCATTGAAATATTGTATAGCACTTCCTATACATAAACTATCACTTGTACAAATAGAGAGATAGGATAAATAATAATGTTGCCAATAATTTTTTCTGACAGCGGAATTGGCAGAAAGTTTTCTCAGATATTCCCACTACTACTTTGTTTTAGTATTAAGATGTTGATATCTAAACTATTTCAGGCAATAATAAAATTGTGTGGTATCAAATCATTGTTTAGCTAGCTAGCTATCTAGATAGATATGAACAGACTGAGATAGACAGATAAACAGATAGATAGATACATATATAAAACAGACTGAGATAGATAGATAGATAGATAGATAGATAGATAGATAGAATGAATTAATGAGATTGCTTCTGCACCAATCCTATAATACAAACTATAATTCATTGATTTTATAAAAGAATGAAAACCAAAAGAAAAAAATTATTTTTTAAAAATTTGACCTGGTACTCAAAATCCTATTGATTCTTTTTATGGCTTATCAACCCTTTTCATTGGTTATTTAAAGATGAAGCATATTTTGGAATGTAATAATAATTCTTTTTTTTTGCCAATGAACAATTTTTTGAGAATATAAATAATTTTTACAGATACAAATCCTACTATTTAATTGCTAGCTGGGTGATAGGGTTGTCAGATGCTTACCTTTCCCAAGAGGTTATTTGGGTATAAGTAACTGTAAACTGCAGAGATGTGTTGCTGTGACAGAGACACTGAATCAAGAAAATTTGATTCTCTTCACCTTCTTATTTTTCAGTTGAATAGATTCTGTTGTATGATAAACACAATAAACAGACACAATAATTATTACAAGTAAGTTAATTAGTTATTTTCACTTCTTTCAAATATGTTTTTTTATTTCAGTATTCAAATTTGCAATTTGTTAAAAATCACTTTTCAGATTTCTGCATACAAATAAACAATTTTATTGTTTCATTAAAAATAAGTCAACGCATTCAGCAAGCAATTTATGTATTGGTATCTTCTATTCATCTACAAAATTCCAGTTTCATGAAAGGTTCTTTTGTGATGTTCAACATAAAAGACATGGCCAAGAATTTGTCCCAGTTGGAGATTTTCCGTTACATGTGTTCTATTTTTAGACCCAAGAGAAACTAATGTCTGAATCATTTCATTATGCCATAACAATAATAACAATAATGATAATGGTAATACCACCCCCAACCCCAACTCTTATACTATTTTCTGGGGAGACAGTCACATTGAATGAATGCTCAAATGATTTTATTGAAAAGAAAATGGTTTCAATTGAATCCTTTGTAAATAAGTTTTGGTCTGTATCATTTAGAATGATTATATTTTGTAAACTGGAAATTAAAACAAATCATGTTTTTCATATCAAAATGAGAAATAAACAAAAGTTTTTATTTACATGACTTACATTAGGACTAATCTTTGTTGTTATTAACACAATGTTTCAGTTGGTTTACCTTCCAGACTTCTTCAGTTGTTGATCTGGGAATTTTGAACTGAACCCTTTATTTAAATGTAATGGGTGGGGGTACATTTTTCTCATTCCACTGTCCATGTCTAGGGATATATCAGCTCTTTCTTATTTAGTTCTTCTTCTTCAGGACTAGGGTTATAATGGCTCTCCACAACTTCCTGTCTTCTATAGCTCTTAGTAAGTTTTGTCTTTTTGCTGTCTTGCCTAAACCCTGTTCTGCCAACCATTTAGACAAGGTTGCTAGCTCAGTTATTTATTGTTTTCCTCTGTCCTTCTTGCCTTCAGTCTGTCCCGTGAGTGTCAAAATTCTTCCAGCCTTCTTTCCTCATTATGTGTCCTAGAAATTTCCATTGTCTCTTTCCAATTCTATGTATAAGTGTCCTTTTTGCTTAAAAAATTCCTTCTTACTCACATGGTCAATTCACGGTATTCTCAGCATCCTTCTGTAGAACAACATCTCTTTTGGTTCAAATCTCTTGTTCATTTGTGAGGAGATTGTCCAGTATTTACTGCTCCATAGAAAAGGACTGATATTACATAACAACTATGAACTCTTTTCTTTGTTTACCGCTCAGTTATTGCTCCGAGACTACCCAGCCCAGGGATTGAACTCACAATTAATATACTAGTGGATCGGTCTTATCTGTTGTTATAGATTTTATTCTAAACAGAACCTTTCAGCCAAGTACACTCCGGCCATCTTCAGATTTTGATTTTAACTGATAGTTGCATGTGTTGATTATTATAAACTTGAGTGCATAATGATTCTATATCTAGAAAATCCAGATTTAGACAATAGCATTGCAGTTGAGTAAATAAATAGAGGAATTGTTATATTTATGCATTTAAGTATCTCTATGAAATAAAGAAATCTATGTTGATAACATAATCCTTTACTCCTGCCTGAATAGTAAAACTGATCAGTTTGAAGAGTCAAAATAGCAGCCAATGTTTAAAATGGCCTCAAGTCTGTTAAGTGGAGCAAAAGATGGCTTGTTAATTTTAACACCTCCAAAACTAAACTTCTCTCCATTAATATTCTAAGGGCCTCCTCTCTGCCTTCCACCGGCATGGCTGATGCTAACATCCAGGAAAGTGACTTGTTACATCTACTCAGTTTAACATTCTCAGCAATATTATCGGTTCTGATCTGGTGGCTTGGCTTCAGTCACTTTTCCACCTCTATAAGGTTGCTTCTCTATGTATATTCTATAATAATCTATAAATATATTTCATGGCAATTGTTCAAATGAGCTCTTTGCTATGGTTCCTAGACTTTATGAATTTAAGTGCAGTACTCAACTGGCAATGACATCTCATCAATTTACAATTGAGCTGGCTAGATATAGCTGTAAATTCTATGTCTTCTTGCTTGTGGAGATCCCTTCTGGTTTCATGCTTTCCAGCCAACTTTAATCTGCAAAATTTTAAATACAATGTCAATCGCTATCTACTGTCCTCCTGATTACTCTTTTCTCTTCCTGCTGATTATTAATTTTTCTGTTCCTAATTCTTTCAGACTCAGTACAAACTTGTGTCTTAGTGGCTTTACTGAAACTGATTAAAAAAATATATATATAGGTAGGTATGTAAAAAACAGATTGTTTTGGGAGATTTTATGACATTTGTTGTGTCATTAAATGTTGAAATTTGGTTTTTATTATACTTCAGTATTAAATACTTTCATGGTAATTGTTCAGATGAGCTCTACGCTATGGTATGTGGACTTTTTGAATTTAAGCGTAATAATATAATGTTGCCGAAATCTCATCAATTTACACTGCCGTAGAGCTGGCTAAATGTAGCTGTAAATTCTTTCTCTTTTTTTTTTTTGAACTTCTCGATTGTGGAACTCCTCTCCAGCTCAATGCTTTCCAGCCAATTTTAATTGGCAAAATTTTAAATGCAATTCTAATCACTATCTACTGTCCTCCTGATTATTCATTTCTCTTCCCCATCATTATTAATTTTTCTGTTTCTAATTCTTCCACACCCAGTAAGCCCTTGTGTCTTAGGGCCTTTTCTGCCTTGCATGGGGTGATACTGATAAAAAAAATAACAATAAAACCCTCCTAAGAAAGCAGGAGAGAAAAATAGAAAAAAAAAAAGGAAGAAAGTGAGAGAATGTATATACGTGTATATACGTGTGTATGCATGTATGTGTGTGTGTGTGTGTGTTTATAACCCTGATTAAATGCTGGACCAATCAATACACTCTTTTTTTCTTTAAATCATTTGTTAATTTCCACAAGCAAACAATTGAGAATAGATTTTCAAGATGTTTGAATATTCAAAATCTCTTAAACAATTGACTAAGAATGTGCAAAATTTTAATTAGACAAAATCAAATTATTTAATTTTAATTTTTAAAAAAGCAATATTAGGAATGTTATTCAAAAAAATAAAATAAAATAAAAAACTAATGATGCTAAAAATTGAAAAAATAACACATCTCAGAAATATAAGGTCATGGCCACAGGGTCGTCAACTTCTTTTGATCTCCCTAATTTTTGATATCATCATAATTGAAAATATCAAGAGGATAATTGACTGAACATCATTTTTTAAAAACTAAATGTAACCTACACAAGCCATTCAAGGTAGAAGATTATATTTAAAATGGTTATGATGAATGAGGTGGGATTTGAGTGAAAGCTGAGATAGTAAGATTGAGAAAAAAGGCTGATATTTATTTATATTTATATCCATTTATTTGTGCATATTTCAAAAGCACAAAACATACATTAAAATACTTTTTATAATGAAAGTCTCTACTTAAAAAATATAAATTTACAGTAGCAAAGGAAAGCGAGAAGAAAGGACTAAACATTGACTATAAGAGAGAAGATATGACTACCTGCAAAAGAAACAGCTAAAAATGTGAATTACAAATTGGAGATATCAAAATTAGGCAAGTACAAACATTTAAATATCTAGGACGTTTTTTTAACAGAGGACAGAAAATGTGACACAAAATCCAAAGGAACATTGGAAGAGTGAATGATGCCTGTCAAAATCTAAGCTAAGTATTAAGAAAAAGGAAAATTTCATTGGAACCAAAGACAAGAGTATTGAACTGTTATGTAATACCAATCCTCCTAAATGACTGTGAAGTGAATGCATAACAATTTCTTCATAGATGAAAAGGAGACTTGAGTCAACAGAAATATTGTTCTACAGTAGGATACTGAGAATATTATGCACTGAACATATGAACAATGGTGAAGTTTTAGAAAGAGAAAGGACATGTATACATAGCATCAGAAAGAGATAGTTGAAATTTCTAGGGCACATAATAAAGAAAGAGGGAATGGGAAATTTAACAGGACATATTGAAGGCAAGATGAACAGAAAAAAGAAAAACCTAATGAACGAGGTTGTGTGTATGTTTGGCAGTACAGGGATTAGGAAAATAGCAAAAAGGCAAACTTTACTAATGGCTACAAAGAACAGGAAATTATGGAGAGCCATGATTGGCCATGAAGGGACATAGTATATAGATGAAGAAGAATATAATTGGGTTAGATTCCTGAATATCTCTTTCTACCAGGAAATAGTTCTTGTCACGTAATAAAAAGTGCAAGAGCCACTCATTGTCTACAATGAGTTACTGAATGAAATTGCTGTATGTGTGAAAGAAGAGTAGCAGTTTATGAGGATATGAAGAAGTTAAGATTGTCATGATTGGAAAGCATCCTTTTGGGAGTCTATTCCATAAAGTGACAAGAAGAAGCTATCATCCTCTGAAATGAAAGGAATAAGCATGATTTGATCCTATGTATATGGTATGGCAGGTTCTGTCTGTGAAGGTCTGAACTGGTAGAACTAAAGAATGTATCTGTCTATATTTTGGAGATGAGGTATTGCAACAATTTATACTATTTACATTGTTTGAACTGTTGTCCTCA